ATATGAGTGGCCCTCCCCTGGACCCTCTTGAGGCTACCCACATCCTTCTTAAAGCGCAGTACCCAAAACTGGATACAGTACTCCAACTGCGGTCTGACCAATGCCACATAGAGGGCAAGTATCACTACTAGGTTCTATTCGTCATGCATTTGCTGATGCATGATAAAGTGCAGTTAGCTTTGCTGATGATACTGTCACACTGATGATTCATGTTCATCTTGGAGTCCACTATGACTCTGAGATCCCTTTCCATTTCTGTGCTGCTGAGGGGGTCATCATTTCCCAGCCAGTATGTGTGCTGGATATTTCTACACCCAGAAATGCATTCTGCATTTGTCCTCATTGTACTGTATCCTATTGTGTTCTGCCCACTTTTCCAATCTGTCCAGGTCTGCCTGCAATTGTTTACCACCCTCCAGAGTGTGCACTTCACCCCACAATTTAGTATCATCCACAGACTTGGGCAAAATAGTACACAGACTAATTCTCCATCTCCTGAGATGTTCCATTCCTCCTATGTATTTAGAGCTATACTCCTGAGTCCATTTACTCTGACATTTCCAGGATATGACCAACAGAAAACAGGCCACAGGAAAATTAAGTAAGCAAACGATGTATAATATTTGGCTGGCAGCATAAGAAAACAGCTGTATTACTGTAAATTATCAGTAGTTTGCAATACTAGTCTCTCCCTTCCTTCTCTCCTGAATAAACACTGAAAATGGACAAGAACTGTACGAGTGGGAGACTAAGCTATGAAATCTGCTCACACAAATTAAGTGTAGAAGCAGCTGTTCTGCTGACTGTTCATTATCATAGAAATCAGAGATGGAAAAAATCCTATTAGATCATAGAGACCCTCCTTTTGTCAGTGGAGGATTGTTCCCTAACAAACATTTTCCAGCACTGTGTCCAATGTAGTTTTAACATGATCTAAGTGATGCCTTCCAGTACTTCCCTTGGGACACTATTTCAGTCTAATAAGTTTCACTGTAATGACATTTACCCTTTTGAACAACCTTTTCCCCCCTGTTGTTTCTCTTTTGAATATTCAGATTATATTCAAGATCTTAAAATGAAAGTAGAAATACTGAAATAGTTTCAGGTTTTCAAGAACAAAAAAGTTAAAATTGGAAATAGCTGCTTCCTTTGTGCATCTAAAGGATTAAGAAATACACTGACCAGGGATCTACAAAGGTGTAGGCAAAGAGGCTTGAAATACAATGAATTTGATAAGTGAGACACTTGAGAGATCTGTGCTAACTCTAAGTCATTAGAAGAGGATGGTCAGCTGCAAATAAAAAATAATTTCTCTCTATTGGATATGGATTCAGTATTCTGATGTTTGTTTGATTGGTCTTTTTTCTTAGTATTATTTTATGAAAAAAATGTTTACAGGATATCGATGAGGGTTGTGGGATAGACCCAAAAGGCTGCACTAGGGCCAGTCAAGAAGTGTGAGTAGGCAAGCCTGATGGCTTATGCGCTCGCTCAAGGGAGTAGGGTAGGTTGGGTGTGGCCCAGAAAGGGGCAGCATGTAAGAGACCTAGTGATAGAGGGTGGAGTGCAAGAAGCTCCAGTGAGAGGGGGGCAGTATGAATGAGGCTTAATGGGGTGGTGTGAAAGGATGAATGCGTGAGACCTAGCAAGAGGCTGAGTTTGGCCCGACCACGAGCTGGAGCAAAGAGCAACTCTAGGATGCCCTCTGCAAGGCATGGGGCATGATAAGGGAAGGTCGGAATCATGTGTAAAGTACCCCTTGGCATTAGGGCAATAAAATGGGCAGCCTCCCACATTTCACACCAGATAAAGAAACAGCAAACTGTGGTAGGAGAAACTGGGTGGACTGCCCTACTTAGGTGGGTGGGCTGAAGTTGAAACCCAGCCCCAAAATGGCCCCGTCACAATTATTATTACAAACTTCCAGATACTGTAGATTAATTGACTTGTTTAAACCTATTGCCTGCTTCCTACTGGGCACGTCTACATGTGCACTTTAAGGCGTATTAACCTATTTTACTGCACATTACAGCATCATGGCAAAAACCATGCTAATATACTAATAAGCCATAAAATTAGGTTACTGCGCATTAAGCATCACCGAAAAACCATGCACTTTCACTACAGCGCATTAGGGCAGCCTAATGTGCATTTAATTAATATCTCACATTAGATGTACTAAATTTAATGTGCAGTAGCAAAAGTGATGACTGAACATGTAGACACACCCACTGTCTGATTTTTTAAAAATGTTTGGATAAGTAGGCTTTTATGTACTACACAAATCCCCCTTTTCCATATTTTTAAGATTTCAGGCTCTCCTCTCAACCCCATATTTTTCATTAGTTTAATTCCACTGACCTCAGTCAAGTTACTCTCAATTTACACTGGTTTCAGTTTGTACTTCAGTATGTTCTTCATAGCACTTTATTATAAAGAGAAAAATGAAGAAAAACCCCATATGTTACAACCAACTGAAAACTGGAGTCGGTCTTTTTTTCCCCATGCAACTAATCACATTAAAACTCCTACATCTTCAAAATGTGACATTTTCTCAGGATTATTATGACCTGTATATGCAACAAAACAATGACCTGTGCTAGGTCATGGACTTATGCTGATCTGCCTGTTCCTCTCAGCCAACTGCATCAAGAGAATTTACTCAAATATACTGCCTGCCAGCAGTTTCCCTTTTAACAAAATGAAAGTTGCCTGCACACATCAAGGGCCTTTTGACATTTTGCCTTTCTTCATCAACAAAAGTATTAAGGGCCATTTCTCAAGTGCCTGGTGCCTTATGTCATCATTTCTCTCTGTGCAAACCGAGGGTAAAATTCTACCAGAGGAACCTTTTTTATATAGATATTATAAGGCCATGAAGAATCAGGTTTTAAAAGATGTTTCTGTAGTGCAAAGTCAGCAGGAGTTATAGAAATAGGTGGCAGTACTTTTACCTTCTAATCCAGTTTATAATAATCACAGAGAAACTGCTATGAAGGAATATTGTTTCAATTGGCCTATCGCTTTGAACATGCCAGTCTTCTGCATGCATCCCTGCTCTGCTCCAACCTTTTCATTGTGTCATACCTAAGTTATCTATTTTCATTTTCAGTGTGGGCATATTGTGGCCAAAAACTCATTTAAACACTTCTCCCAACCATTTAGTTGGTTAAAAATATTACTAAATGTATCTTGTGTCATGTATATTCCTTAGATCAGTGGTACTCAATCTTTTGGCTCTGTGGGCCAGATAAGGTTGGGCAGGGCCAGTCAACAGGACTGATTGAGCCTGACATGCAGGATTGGTCTCTGGGGGCCTGACACCACCCACTCCCACCCATACACACTGGGATTGGTACCCAGGGGCCTGGTACTGCCCCCTCATACTGGGATTGGTCCCTGGGGCCCTGGCACCTCCCTTTCCCACTTCAGCATGCCAGGGTAGGGTCCTGGGGGCTTGGCACTATTCCCTTGTCTGCATTTTTGTCTATATCCATTACTTGTCTTATACTTATGAATGTAAGTTATTAAAAGCAGATTGTCTTTTTGTTCTAGCACAGTCCCAAGCCCAATAAGTTCCCAGGACCATGTATAGTGCTCATATCTGTTACACTAATACAAGTACTGAATCAGGAAGCAGTAACAATAGTGGATATGATTCAAGCACTAAACTGGGTGTGGAAAAGGATTATTCTTACTTCTGCTGCTGAACAATACCTTGGGATACTCCTCTGCTGACTAGTTAGAGCTTTCTAAATCATGAGTTGACTGGCAAAGAAATAGGAGAGGCATTTTCAATCCACATGCTCTACGTGCCAGCTTCTAGAGCTGTGCAGAGGGTGGAAGCTCTGTTTCATAAAAGACTGAAAGAATTCAAAATTCAGCTTTATTCAGACTTGACAAAAACTAACAATGTCTATTTCTATTTCAATTTGAAATTTTCCAGGAGAAAAATACTGGAGCTAGAGTGTTCCACATTGGTTGAAATGTTTTGTTTCAATTTTGATTTTTAATGTTTTATTACAACAAATACAATATTTTTTTTCAACCAACACAAAATTATAAGGGGGAAAATGATTTGTTGAAGGAAGAACGTGTAGTATACTGTGCAGTGGTAAAGCAATTTACACAGGGGCACCCTTCCTACTTAAGTACCCACATTCTGTGTATATCCCTGCTGGATCCCACTTTCCCTATTTTTGACCATTTGAGGCCCTGACTCATGCCTATCAATCGTTCTTTCTCTGGTGGAAGAATGTACTTTTTTGACAGGTTCACAATACTAATGAGCCAGAAAGGATCATTACTGAATGATGTGATGAACTCTTCCTTTCTTCAGTGTTAAGTGAACTAACTCAAGACAAGGCACAGAAGCTGACAGAACTACACACTCAATTGGATAACTATCCAGCCACACACAGAGAATTTCTTCCAGTTCTGATATAACTCAGTTTGGTCTTTTGTCACATGGAGCCCATAATAAGATGTTTGGGGACAGCTGAAGTGCACACATGATACATTCCAAATGCTTTTCAGAACAAAAAGTCTCAAAGAAACTGCAACGTGGATCATTTATGACCACAGATAAAGTTTTTAAAAAGCTCCATTTATTTTTTCCAAGACGTTCACACACCGGAGTCTGAGAAATACAGAGTAGATAAAAGGACACCTAAGAATGGTATTTATAGCTTCCCACCATCTATAACACACTTGCATTTAAACTTGCTGGACAGCCTTCTGAATTGTCTCCATTCTTCTGCTTCTATGCACATCAACACTTTAAAATAGTTCATTTAGAATATACATTTTAGCAAAACATCCAGCAAGAAAATTTTATGGAGTTATGGAAATATGGCTTGCCAGTTCATAAAAAGAACTGTGGGTGATTTAACATGAGAGTGAAATGGGAAGATAATGAAAATACTGAGTAGCTGAACCGTACAAAGTAGGATCCTAAATTTTGAGGGTGGGTGTTTGTTTGATTGACGTATCCTTCTTACCTCCAGCACTCTTCCTGTGATGTACTTCTCGCAGTTGTCACATCTTATGCCAAACTTAGCATGGTAGTCCATTTCACAGTATGGAACACCATCCCTGGGAAACAGATGACAGACAATGCAAGAATAGCTTTGAATATGTTTGTGGCAAATTCTCTTGTATTTCACATGGCTAACCGTATAAAGTCTCTAAACAGCTTCTCCTGAAATGATCTTTTCCCTCTTACTAATTTTGTAGAGAACCAAATATTAATAGATTGTAGAGTCAGAAGGGACCACAAAGGATCATCGTGTCCGACCCTCCACCCCTGGCAGGAAAGAGGATTGAGGTCAGATGACCCCAGCCAGGTGACTATCAAGCCTCCTCTTGAAGACCTCCAAGTTAGGTGATTGTACCGCCTCTCTTGGAAGCCCATTCCAGGTTCTGGCCACCCTTACTGTAAAAAATGTCTCCCTAATGTCTAACCTGAATCTACTCTCCATTAGTTTGCACCCATTATTCCTAGTTACTCCCAGGGGCGCTCTGGTAAATAACAGATCTCCAATTCCCTGTTGTCCTCCCTTGATAAACTTAAATTAACAAAAAATTACACCTGAGACACCAAGTCTGTCCCCTCTAAATTTACCTCAATCCCACTTTTTGACTTCATCACTATATTCAACTTTTACCTTAAAAGCAGCAAACAGTTTCTTACACTCAAATGCATCACAGCACTTGCTTTGATTGTTTTACTCATTTAGGTTATTTTTCATATTCCAACTTTCAGAAAGAAATAATTATGTCCACATATTATTCTCTGCTTTTTTACTTACCATCGAAACCTACTTTTAGCTTGGCTTACAGGGGAAGAATTGCCTATTTGAATACGCTGAATTTCAGAGTGGAGTGATGTGGCTAATGTTTAATCCTAATGGCTCTCTTCTGATTTGGGAGCTCTCAAAGAGAGTCACAAGAGCCACTGTCTTCTCTAGAATTTATTCTGCAGAAGACAGAGCGACTATGAGATCCATCAAAGTGGCAGGAAAGTGACTGCAATAGCCTCATGCATGCAATAAGCAGCAGAATTTTACACGGTTTCATTTGTAGGATTTAAGATGATGAATAATTTACAAAAGCACAAAATGGAAATTTTAAATCTCAGCTTTGCTCAAAAATGCACAGCTACATTATTTCATTAACTCATTAACTAAAATGGATTATTATAACAGACCCTAAATAACTGATCAGAACCTAACTAATTTGAATTAAAGAGTTAAATTAAGGCCCCCTTTCTAGAGTATTTAGATTGTTTCCATCAAAGGAGTTATACTTAACCTAAATTGCCTAAACTAAATTGCCTTATTTCCACAGTTTATGGAACGCTGTGTACGAGTTTGTGGAAGGAAGTGGGGCAGGAAAGAGAGAAAGAAAGAGAGAATACATGTAAGAGAAATATTTAGTGGTTATTTTATACGACAGAATTTGATTTGGATAACACAAGGGTCCAGTACATCAAAGGTACCTAGTCTCACTTAGGGGCATAACTTCTATTGAAAACAATGGGACTTTGGTACCTTCAAAAGAATTAGATGCTTAAACCCCTATTAACGATCAGGGATCTACCACCTTTCATCTTCAAAGTGGTTTACGACATTCAACTCTCCTCACACCTCTGTGAGGAGGCAGTTGTAATTATTTTACTATTACATGCTCTCCATTCTCCCCATCCTGTCTCAAGTGGATTGGGGATATCCTTGTATTAGCGAGGAACTTCCAGGGATGATGACATGAATGGTTTAAATTGTTCTCGGGCCATCATATGGTGCAAAATCTTTAGAAAACAAAGGAAAGTTGTGGAACCAAAGGAAGACCTTTAGCTTTAGATTGTACATAAGAGAAAAGAATTAACTTGAATTTAGTTATTTGTTCAGGGGAACAAAAATAAATTTACAGTTGAAAAAATCCTCCAAGCAGCTGCAGCTTGACATCTGCAAAATTGTATCACATAGGAACTGGAATTAGAGTTGTTAACAATATAGACAGATGAAGATTTTTGACTGAATACATATTTTCATAAAATTTACTATTTCTCATTGGAATATTTGGCGCAAATCTTGCAAGGAATCATTTTTCATGAATGAACTTTGGATATGGTCCATAAGAAGTCAGGCATTTTTTTTTGCTAAGTGAATAAAATCAAAGTTGGGTTAACATAGATTTGAAATAAAGGAGAAAGAATAAAAACAATACATATTGTATATGTCCATATGGCGGGAAAAAGTCTTTTTATATTTGCATCAGATTTCTAGCAAAAAATTCTCACCAGAAATTTTTCTTGTTTATTCAGGAACTGCCAAATCTAACAACTATTGTTCATCTGAAAATTTGATAAAGCTATTTTGTTTGGTTAACAAGGATTAGAAAGGATTCATTTTATTGTTGTCTTACTTCACTGACTTCAGTTGGACTTTCATTTCACTGTCTTCTAACCTAATTCGAATGGGTTAGAGAGGAAGGAAACTGGCTTTGCATTTCCCACTGGGGTTATGGAGATCAGGTTTTGGTTCCGCCATAGACATTGCAGGTAGCCTGGGGCAAGTCACTTAAACTGCCAAGTCCATTGGTTAAAAAGGGAAAAAAATATTTGTTGCCTCACATGTACATCAGAAGATCTGAAAGCATTTTTAATTTCTTAGAAGGAAAATATAATTACTTTGGATAAGTGCTCCTGATAAAATTACTAAAAGATGACAGACTAAAATGGTGATTCTCAACCAGGGTTGTGGGGTGCCTCCAGATTCTTTGAAGAGTGCCAAGAGGTGTGAGGAGATAAGTGGGATGGGAGGAATGAGGATAGGCTAAGCAGATAAGCTAGGCTCAGGCCTGTCCCTGCCTGGATGTTCCCTCACCCCTATTGCCCAGCTGCTGTGTAAGGAGGTGCATACTGTAATATAGAAATTAGTTTTTGAAAATGAGTGCCGCTCAATTTACAACAGTTCTGGAGGGCTGCTTCAAGTCTAATTGGGAACGCTTCAAGTCCAAAAAGGTTCAGAACTACTGTATGAAAAGGGAAAAGCACGAGCAACTATTTCTCTTATATAGAAAAAATAAAGCTAATATTAAAAAAAAAAAAAGCACTTTTAGCTGTTAGTACTGGTGAGACCAGATCTTCAGCAGGTGTAAGCTAACATGTCTCCACCAAAGTGACTGAGCTATGCATATTTAAATTTACCCAACATTTAAGTATACAGGGGCACCAACAATGCCGTCAGTGTTCCTGGATTATTATATGGAAACACATTTTTTATCCAAACACGGTGGAACAAGGAATTTCTTACTGTATAGTTTTCAGATTTTCTTTTATTGCTGTTTGATTTTATTCTTTTAGGATGAACTGGGCATAATATCCTTTTAACATATAACCTGCTTTGTGAAAATAACAAACAGCACAATTAAACTACTACTATGACGAGTAGTAAAACTTCAGAAGATGTTTAGGCAATAAGGTTGGTCAGAACATTATTTAAGAACACAGTGTTCTGAGCTATCGTTTTGTCGTTAGCTGTCAACGCAAGCTGTGAAATTAGGAGCAGAGACCAGAGGAAAAGACAGCTGGACAGGACAGTCTGGATCATCAAGTCGAGTGTCTTGCTACTACAAGCACTAGTCCCCCATTTTAAAAGTGGTTGAGTTTTTGTCCCTACTGCTTGGGAAGGGTGTACCAAAACTCCCCAGACCTAATGGTGAGGCACCTCCTTTTAATTTTGAACCTGAATTCCTGAATAGCTTTAAGCGTATGGCCTGAAATTCTCATTGAAAGGCTTATAAATAATTGCTTCACAATTTTACCTGGTTGACATACATCTGTCAGGGAGAAATGAACTCTGACTAGAATAGCAGATGTAGTGTAGGTAAAGATATGGAAGTCAATCTTATCCCTAAATTATTTGTTGTTAGAAAAAAAGTATATTCAAGGTGCGGAGGAAAATCCTCTTTCCACTCTTTGTGGCGCAGACTAATTATTTTAATTTTTTCCTTTCCCTAATAACTTGAAGAGTTAAGAAAGAAAAACTGTGCTACTGTACTCTCTAAAGAATGGCAAGTACAATGTGTAAAGAATAGATTAACCAAATGCCTTTTGAGAACAGAATGCTGAAAATGAACAGACCGCTTCAACTTACTTGCTGATGTACTCTGCATTCAGATGCTTGCCACATGTATAGCACTTAAAACAGCCCAAATGCCAGTGTTTGTCCAAAGCTACCAATGACTGTCCATTTTTTATTTCTGAACCGCAGCCCCCACAATCTGTAAAAGATAAAGTCTTAGATATGAATCATATATTTTGATTGATTATGAAAGTACAAAAGAATTGATTACTGTGGTGTGAGGATTCACTGGTGTTTTACTAAATGAACATGAAATTATTTTTACTCACAACAGTGAAATGCTGGTATAATGCAATTGCAAATGTAGACCATTACAGTTAAATTTTATTAAAATTATGTTTCCCGGTTTTGAAAGAAAATTGATAGTAGTAATGTAGCATAGCCAGCAGATGCTCAGAGGGCAATGAATACATAGGAACGCAATGTGAAACCAAGTCAAAATCATAAACATTATTTTAATGCATTTAAATTAATGCAGTAGTACCAGAATAACATCAGCAACAACAATAATGTTGTATTGTAATACAAAATTTATTCAAATATAAGATGATCCTGAATATAAGATGACCCCCCCAATAATTAGATTATATATATATAAATTTTATAAATTTGTTATAATTTTACAGGTATAAAATCTAATTATTGAAAGATTGCCTTGAATTATCCCCCTCCCACTGCTACAGTAGAGAAAATAAATCTAGGGGATTAGGTAGCTCCCTTTCCCTCTGCTTCCCCAGCTTATTTTCCATGAAGCCCATTCTCTGCTCCTTACTGTCAGATCTTACTCTCCCTGAATACATAGAAGTGAGGAGCAAATTTGAAAACACTCACCTTGAAATAAATATTCCTGTAATAATTTGTTTGTAGTACCAGAAGTGATACATTTGACTTTTTTTAGAAACTGATGCAAGTTTTACAACAGGCACTCCACAAACACAATATTAAGCAGCACTTTTGTACCTACTTAGCTATAGTACAAACTATGCGTTCAAGTCCAAAGCCAAAAGACTGTTATTTTACCATCTAGTTTATTAGGCTAGGCCCCAGCAGAGTCAACATCATTTCAAGCCATGGTGACCCCACAAGTCAGCACTACTCAGTATGTGTATGCACTTCAGATACCCCCACAAAGGATCCATGTGCTAATTATCCGCTACTCATGACTGGAACTGGGTGTTCTGGTCACGAGTCCTGGGATGTTCCAAAAATATAAAGGAAGATGAGGCACAGGCCAACTTGGTCCAGCTCCACTGCATGGAGGGTAGGGCCACACTAATCATATGAGACAGGCTGAGAGATATGACAACAGAGGGATTCTGGGTGAACTGTTTGGGGCCCTGTTTGGTGATGTTTGTTAGACACTTAAGGGTATTGAAGATACAGGAATCATTGGAAATGGGACAGAAAGGCACATCTTAGCTGCGGGAGTGAAGAGGAAGTAAAATGTATTTAATATAGTGGCTCACCATGACTTGAGAAAGAGTTGGCGCTGAGGAGCACTGTGCTCAACAGGCACTGCCATATATCTTAATCAGATAGGTTGCATTAAGCTATCCTTGTGTGGTAGGTTTTCATCAGTATGACTTTTTTGGTTTTTGTTTTTTTAAATTTTGTTTCAAGGGCCAAATCAGTTCTGAATTTTATTAGGCAAGGCCCAACAGACAAATTCCAAATTTTGATTGAGCAGAACTCAGTTGCTCAAATCCGTGTAGCTGTACCACCAGGCAAGTATCTTCTGTCCCAGACCCATCAATATGGGGCTTTGGATACTATGCAAATCCATAACAAGCATCATATGTCAGTATGTTTGCCCAGTAAGGGCCATGCATTTTATAGTCATGCTCAGTGTTGGATGAATTTAATCAACTTCATATTTGGTTACCATTGCTGAGTACATGCTGCTTTTGGCAGCAGTTTAATGATAGACAATATATTTAATGAGGTTTCCTTGAATGCAAATTTAAGACAAGGGGCTTTTCCCCCAAGCTGATTGGGGAAAAATAACCTCATCTTGTATTCAAGTAAATATGGTATTGTACAATATTATCTAATTCAATCAATATATTAAATCAATTATCTTATTTTGCACTGTCTTGATATACCTAAACCTGCATAGCTTTCTATGTAATGCTGGAGTATACCTGTGTATTCTTAGATGTTATTATGGGCATCCCTTTTAAATGCTCTGTCCTGCAATCTAGCTGGGCTGCATATCCAAGCTAGGGACAGAAGTTACACATATACCCATTTAAGTGATTGGACACCAGTTTCAACCTTGTCTGAACCTGTTTTAAGATAAACCTGGTTCTATGTAGCATCAGAGTTAATTGGTTTAGGTTAAACTGGTTTATGGAACTTCTTAGCCAGATTCCCTCCTGACTCAAGTTAACTCTCAATCTCCAAGCAACCCAGAATGCTTTGCAGCCCTGGGCTGTGCTATTTGCTCCACCTACTACCCCCAGTGTCACAGAGCTGAGGCAGTAAAACCTCTGCCCCCTAGCCTGCTTCCTGCCTGTGCCTGTCAATTCAGTGGGATGTGGGGCATAGGAATGGACCCCTGGGCCCTCCTAACTCCAGGGTATACAGCACAAGGGAGAAAAAGTTTCAATGGTGAGGCCTTTTTGCCACCCCCCTTCAGCCCAGTAAGCAGGGCTCAGGTTGGCTCAGCCACCCATGTCTGAGAAGTAGGGGAGGGGGCATGCACCCTTGGCCTAGCACAGGCTCCCCCAGCAGGGAACTGCTTGGTGTAGGAGGAGAAAGCCCCTACCAAGAGACTTTTCACCCTTTTACCCCTGCAGCCCTGCCCCTTCCCCAGCTGTCCACCTCACGGAAGACTGGGAAGCAGAGGGCTGGGGTGATCCCATCCCAGCTCCGAGCTGCATGGGAGTGAAAAGCCTCTTGTTGGGGGCTTTCCCCCTTGCCAGGCAGATCTTGGAAAGGGGGACTGATGCCAGTCTGGGAGAGGTGCATTCCCCTCCTTGCAGGCAGGTGACTGGGGAGGGAGCAGGGATGAGCTGATCACAGCTCAGCTCTGAGCTGCAGGGGGGCAAAAGACCCCTGGTGTAGGTTTTCCCACATGCCAGGCAGACACTGGCTGGGGGAAGGAGGCACAGTACTGGGCCACGAGTGCCTTCCTCCTCCCCGTCTCAGAGCTTTGGCTGGGAAGGAAGTGGAGCTGTTGAGAGATTGCCAGCTGGCTCCACCCTCTCTGCTGCCGATAACAGGTAGGGCATATGTACAGCAGACAATCAGGCCTGAACTGCTGCTGAGCTAGGCTCAGCAGCCTTAGGCAGCATGGCCATGAGATGTGGTGCATGTGAGCATGCTCAGGCTCCTGGCCTGGTCAAATGCAGGCTTCTGCCTATCTTGGCCACCAGGACACTAAATATCACTTCAGTTTGTTATTGATTCAATCTATGCATCTTAGAAAAACCTGAAAAGATTGAATCGATTTTGCCTTAGGTTTTTTGAACCTTTGTATTTAGCCACAGTATTTAAAAGCCTAGGGCGTCAGGCACCCAAGATCAGCTAGCCTGCACACATGACTTTTAGACCCAAGGCTACTCCATGCGTGATCCCCTGTAGGGATCAGTCACAGGGTTGACCCAGATCCCAGTTGGAGACCAGGGGCTGCCCACAGCCTCATCCTGGGAATCAGATAGGGGTTGATTGTGCCCCAGACATCTGGATTGCCCTGTGTCTCATCCCATGTCAGAATCACGCATGGAGCTCCCCAGGGTCCCAGTGGAAGACCTGAACTGAAGGGAAACCTGTGGAAAGTTATCATGGGCAGTGACAGCATGGGGTTAGGGTCCCGGGCAGAGCTGTCATCTGCTCCTGCACACCCTTGCCTGTGGAACCAGTGCCTATCACAGGGATGTGTGAGAGCAGATTGTGGCTCTGCCTCAACCCCATGCTATCAATACCCCGTGATCCCAATCCTCAGCCCTACCTACCCATCTTCTTCCCGAATGTGGCTCCATCCCATCCACCTGACTGCACACCCTGCCTACATGGGTCCTGTCCCTGGAGGTGCATCTGGGGTGTATGGGCTGTGGTGCCAAGGCTGGGTTGCCCAGGCAGTGATCCTGTGTCTGGTAGCAGAAGCCAAAAGGACCCACCACTGGGACTGCTGTACCATCCCAGCCCACATGTGCCACAGCCTGGACTGCCCCCCATCCCTGGACAGGGTGGGACCAAGGGACCCATTGCAGGTTGGACAAAATGCCTTGGCTGGATCTGACCCATGGACCATATTTTGCCCACCCCTGAATTAGATGATGTGGTTGCCTGCAATAGTAAGTGATTTGATAACACATATTCCAGACACATCTTTAAAAAGATCCAGAGCAGACTCTGTATATATATCCAGTCTTTCTTAGGCTAGGAGGACAGACCAGACCAGAAGCTTTAAGCTTGGGGAAGAAATCTTGTAAAAATGTCCCTGAGATTACAGAACTGAAATCCATGAAAGGGACATCCATCCATGAAGTCTTTGCTATGAAGGGATAGTGCTTTTGCATATAGTCATATAGTATATAGTACAATGGGGAAACCTTAAATACTTTTGACTTGCAATGAAGAAAAGAAGAAGGGGAGAGATTTTGTGAAAGTTTTCACATGTCTCTTTTGATCTGCTATAATAACATCAGTCTAACAAGGTTGAGAACCACTGCACAGGAGACTCAGAAGATGAATAATTTTACTTGCATACAGGACAGTTTATATAGTGTCATACCTGGAGTGCCTTGAAATAAGGATCAAAAAGAAAAAGAGAAAATATTCTTGAGTTTCACCAGATGTATTATCTAGTGTCTGCTTATGAGAGAGAAGAGAGCAGAAAAATCTAGACTGTGAAGAGCCTGGATGATGCTTCATATAAAATAGAAACAAGCCTTAAAGAAGGAAGTCTAAGAATAAAGTATTTGGAAAATAATTAAACAAGGTAAAAAAATATGATGTATTTCTAAAAGGGGAATCTCTAATGGTGTTAATATATGCAGAATAAATGAAAATCTGGTGACAAACATAGCAAAGTGATACTATCATTAGTATTACAATAATCATTCTAATTTCTATGCAAGCTCAGCTGGAATAATATGTTACTACAAAAAATCTGGATGGAAACTGACAATCTGA